GGTCGTGTAGCCCAAACCACCACTGAGCAAGGGGAAGGGGGGCGGGGCGCTGACATACATGGCCAGGGGGCGTGGCCGTGTACGTCAGCGTTACAGACGCACAGACACTGGGCTATATTTCTAATATTTCATGGTATTTTTCAGATCTAGTCTTAAAAGGCTGTCTTTTACACAAGGTTCTCACTTTTGGGTCTTGTGCTCCCAGTGCGAGAGAGGACAGAACTTGTATAACTCAAAACCTTTTGATTGCCTGAGTTAGGGGTAAGGGGGCGTGGCCGTGTACGTCAGCGTTACAGACGCACAGACACTGGGCTATATTTCTAATATTTCATGGTATTTTTCAGATCTAGTCTTAAAAGGCTGTCTTTTACACAAGGTTCTCACTTTTGGGTCTTGTGCTCCCAGTGCGAGAGAGGACAGAACTTGTATAACTCAAAACCTTTTGATTGCCTGAGTTAGGGGTACTGTAGATACATATGCACCATCAAATGCCAGAACCTCAGCCCCAAGTGACTTCCAATCATCTCCTGGCTAATCAAGATAGCTGAAATCAAATCTTGTCAACCATCAATGCTCCAATTCTATTTGATCTCTGATACGTTTTGAATTTCTTCTGTTAGGTTCCTCAACTCTTCAGTTAGCCTTTTAATAACACAGCTCTTTATTTCTGTGCATTTGTTCATCCTTACGCACTTCAGGTAAGGGAGGTTTAGGTTGGACATTAGGAAAAAGTTCCTAACTGTCAGGGTGGTTTAACACTGGAATAAATTGCCTAGGTGATTGTGGAATCTCCATCTCTGGAGATATTTAAGAGTAGGTTAGATAAATGTCTATCAGGGATGATCTAGACCAGGGGTTCTTAACCTTCACACCTCCCCTGAAAGTGAACTTCATGTTCACACACCCCTGGGAGCCATTTTGTGCACAGCCTAGCCCCACCCCCTTACCTGACAGGAAGCTAAGGGGCGTGGCTAGGACTATAAGAACTCTGCCAGGGAGCTCAGTTGGGGCCCAGTCTCTGAGGCTGATGAGGCTGAGACCTGGCCCGGGCCTCCCACAGCCACCTTCCCTCAGGCCAGCGAAAGCTTCCCTACCTGGGCCACCAAGGCCTGGCCAAGCCGGCCAGCAGGGCTACCCTCTGACCTAGAGGAACCTGAGGCTCTACAGGTACCTGGTGATTCGGAGGACCGGCCTGAGCTGAAGGCCCGACTCGAACCCCGAGGCCTGCCTGAACCCTGGAACCTGGCAAACCAGCTGGATACTGGACGCAGCCGTCCGAGCTAATTCCCAAGTCTGATGGCTGGTGGCGCTCTGGGGTGAGTGAACCCCGTTACAATGCCTAAATGAATAATATGAGCTTTTTACTTTGAACCTTTTCCTAACAAATGTACGTAATATTTGAAGATGAAAGTCGGCAATGCTTGCGAACTGTTATTGTAGTGTGCCCGTCTTTAGAAGTTAAGAAATTAATGTTTATAATTTTAATTCATAATATTATGAAGAAATCTAAACTTTAGAATTTTATCCAGTGAGAAGGCAATTGCGATACATTTTCTGGGAGGCACCTCACACCTCCCCTGGGGAAGCGCACCTCACTGGTTAAGAACCCCTGGTCTAGACCGTACTGGGTCCTGCCATGAGGGCAGGGGACTGGACTCAATGACCTCTCGAGGTCCCTTCCAGTCCCTAGTATTCTATG